CCCAGTGAAGAGAAGCCGTGGGCTCCCTTTCGGTTGAACGTAGAATCCTAGGGCTGGGAGGGACCCTGGAGGTCGTCTAGTCCAACCCCCTGCGCAAGCAGGAAACCTTGGTGAGGCCAGGGGCCTCTTTGCACAACCCCTTGTGGTGCCAAGTGTGTCGCACGCTCGGGAGCAGGAAGCCTTCCAAGCGCAGAGATCCGTCTGCCAGCTTCTGGGCTTCCCGGGGATTCTGGTCCGGCTGTTGCGGCTTCAGGGCCATGAGGACTAGGAACTTGGCCCCTCTGGGCCCCGCAGAGCGGGTTCCTGGCTGAGGCTGGCTTTGCTGGAGGGTGTGAGGTGGGACACCGATGGAGGGGTCTCACGGATGGTGCCCTCCGTGGATGGTGCTTCCCAGAAGACGGATGCGGGGGTCTTAATCTCTCTGTTTCTTCCTCCACGCCCACCCCCCAGCACGGAGGCAACGTCTGGCCCTCGGAGTCCTCCAAGATCCGGACGCCTCAGACGCAACCGGACTCTCGGCTGGGCAACGTCTCCCTGATCCCCCTGCGAGGCAGCGAGAACGAGATGCGGAACAGCGTGGCGGCTTTGGTGGCCGATCCCTTGACGGTGGGCCCGATCCCTTCCCCTTCCCCTTTCTCCCCTTCCTCTTTCTTCCCTTCCCTTCTCCCTTCTTCCCTTCCCCTTTCTTCTCTTCTCTTCTCTTCTCTTCTCTTCTCTTCTCTTCTCTTCTCTTCTCTTCTCTTCTCTTCTCTTCTCTTCTCTTCTCTTCTCTTCTCTTCCCTTCCCTTCCCTTCCCTGATTCTCTCTTTTGTCTCTCTTAATTTCTTCTTTCTCTCTCTCTTTCTTTCTTCTTTCCTTCCTTCCTTCCTTCCTTCCTTCCTTCCTTCCTTCCTTCCTTCCTTCTCTCTTCTTTTTCTTTCTCATCTTTTTTCATCTATAATCCACTTCCTCCATCCCGTCCTCCTCCTCCCCCCTCCTCTCCCTCCCCTTCCCCTTCCCCTTTCTTTCCTTCCCTTCCCTTTCCCTTCCCTTCCCTGATTCCCTTTTGTCTCTCTTAATTTCTTCTTTCTTTCTCTCTTTCTCTCTTTCTTTTCTTTCTTTCTTTTTCTTTTTCTTCCTCCCTCCCGTTTCTTTCCCTCCCTCCCTTCTTTCCTCCCTCCCTCCCTCCTTTCCTTCCTTCCTTCCTCCCTCCCTTCTTTCCTTCCTCCCTCCCTCCCTCCTTTCCTTCCTTCCTTCCTCCCTCCCTTCTTTCCTTCCTTCCTCCCTCCCTTCTTTCCTTCCTCCCTCCCTCCCTCCCTCCCTCCCTTCCTTCTTTGTTTTCTCTTTCTCATCTTCTTTTCATCTATAATCCACTTCTCTCTCTCCCACCCTCCTCCTCCTCCCCCTCCCCCTGGGTGGTTGAGGGTCCCTGAAGACCCCCCCATCCCGCCCTGTGTCTTCTGACCTTGCCTCCTTTTCCCTCCAGCTCCTTCGGGATGTGTGAATCCGGCAGACACGGACCAGGTAAACGAACGGCCCATCCTGCAGTGCTCAGGGCGGGTGGCCCTCTGGCTGGGGGCGGGGGGTGGGTGGGCGTTTGGGGGCCCCCCCTTTGTCCCCCAGGGCTTTGCAGAAATTCTGGCCTGGCCTTTTAAAGGTGCCAGCTGCTCCCCTGAGCCCAGGGGTCCACAAGTCTTGCGGATGCTGCAACCCCCCCCCACCCAAATTCTTCCCCTCCCCAACTCTCACTTTCCTTCCTCTTTCCTTCCTTTGCAGGTTGGACAAGCACAGCGAAGGGCGGTCCAGCAACCGGAGGCGGGTCAAGCGGGGGGAGGGAGGGGTGCCCAGTATCCAGGACAGACCCTTTGGGGGGTCCCCGGAAGACCGAAAGCAGCAGGAACGACACCTCCAACTGGATTGGGGGGGGAGGATTCCCACAAGCCTGGATCCGAAGCCGGTCCTCAAAGCCCACCGGGTTCATTTCTGTGCCAGGAACAAGACGTGCCCCCCCCTCCACCCCAATGCAGCCTGGGGTCTTGGCCTACCCCTCAAAGACCCCCCCCCCAAGACCATCCCTGCTCTGATGGGCGCTCGGGACAAAGGACACGGAGTCTGCGGGGTGTAGTCTGGGTTTTACCAGGCCCCGGAAGGTTTGCTGGAGACACGGATCTTCGGGGTGCAAGGAGACCCCCCCCTCTCCCATGCTCCCCCAGCAGACCAAGCTGGGTGGGGTGTTTGGGGTGACTCGGACCTGCTGTCCACCCCAAACATTTCAGCTCCTGCCCCTTTCTCTGAACCCCTGAAACCACGGGGCGCCCAGCGCAGAAGAGGCAAGCCGCATCCATCGGGGTGACTGCCTTAGACCGGCTGCTCTTCCCTGCCTTTTGGGGGGGTCCCCAATTCTGCCTCCCCCCTCTCTTCTACAGACTCTGGGGGGGTGTGTCTCTCACCTGGAAGAAGGAAAGACAGACAGCAGCAGCTTGGCAGAAGCACAGCAGGGGCAGGGGGCTACCGAGACTGCGGCTGGCAGGGTGGGGGGCTTCTCTTCCCCCCCCCATGGACAGGGACGAAAAGCCCAGCTGTGCATGGGCACTGTGAAAAAGGGATGGGCGCCGCCTTTTCCAGCTGATGTATTTTTTTTTTTGTCTTTTTGTAATCAGAATAAAGTTCTCAGAAGGAATTGGAGTTGATGGGGAGGGGGCTTCCAAGGGGTTGGTGGAGGGCTACTGCCCTGTACTGGTGGTGGTGGTGGGGGGGGGGCTCCTCTGTGGCTCTAGTCTAGACCACGTTTTTTTCAAAGTTGGCAACTTGAAGGTGGATGGAGCTTCCAAATTTCCCCAGCTAGCAAGGGTGGACTACAATTCCCAGAATTCCCCAGTTAGCTAGAATGGACTTCAACTCCCAGAATTCCCCAGCTAGCAAGGCTGGACTACAATTCCCAGGATTCCCCAGCTAGCAAGGCTGGACTACAATTCCCAGGATTCCCCAGCTAGCAAGGCTGGACTACAATTCCCAGGATTCCCCAGCTAGCAAGGCTGGACTACAATTCCCAGGATTCCCCAGCTAGCAAGGCTGGACTACAATTCCCAGGATTCCCCAGCTAGC